AAAAGACCGGGTGGCTCGTCAGGTAAAACACTTGCCTTGCAAACCTAATGAACTGGTTATGAAGAAGTTAGAGATGATGCCATACTTGGTGATTTTGTGAAATGGTTGAAAGGAGGACTCAGTGGTCCCGTGAAGTTTGTAAGAACTGTTTTACTGGGCGCTGGCGGATGACAAGAGCTGTCAGAACAGATATTCCCAAAGAAGAGGAGGGCTCTGGAATGGGTAAAGCGCCTTGTTCTAACTCCTTGTCCGGGAACTGCGGCATTCAGCCTTCCTCACCAACAACTTCAGAGAAGTCATTTGAAGGAAATGATGGAAGAAAAGGCTGGCTGGCCGCTACTGCCATCACTCACTGCTTTCAGTCTATACTAGATAAAGGGTTACTGCTGCCGCTGTCCATTCCTGCAGAGAATTGATTTTGTGGTTTTTGAATAGAGACATTTGCGCACATTCCTGATCCTAGGCGCAAGCGCCATATACCAGGGTCCTGCTTTCAACTTAAATCACTGAGGCATGCCTGCTATCTGTTACAGTCAGGGCGTCAGTGCCTTTGTCATCACGAGAGGAGGCCACAGCGGCATTCCTGTGGGCAGGAAGAATAACTGTGTACAAAGTAGAGAAGTCTCCAATTGTGTGACAACATTTGTATAATAAAATTTTCTTTAAAGTTAAAAAAATAAGCAAATAAAAATAATAAAGATTAGAGATGGAGAGATGGTTCAGCAGTTAAGAGCATTGGCTGCTCTTCCAGAGGACCTGGGTTCAATTCCCGGCACCCAAATGGTGGCTCATGGCTGTCTGTACCTCCAGTTCCAAGGGACCCAATACTCTCACACAGATCTGCATACAGGCAAAACACCAATGAACATAAAATAAAGTAAACAAAAAATAAAGATTAAAGAAAGAATAACAAGACAGAATAGTCTCACGCTGTGAGACGCTTCTTTAACTGGACGGTACGTGAACTTAAATCCTGAAATTTTTTTTTTTTTTTTCTGAGACATGTCCTAGAACTCATGACTTTCCCACTTCATCTTCCCGAGTGCTGGGATTACAGGTGTGCATCGCCACTGTCTCAAAGAATCTTAAAGAAGCAAGGGGACTGTGGGGGGTGGGGTGGGGGGGAACAGGCAGCGTTAAGAAACAGGTCCAACAGGAGAACCGTGGCGCAGCAGGGGAGGAGGGAAACCGAAAGGAGCCGTGAGAAAGGCAGGGCCCCGGACCAGTCAGAGCGAGAGCTCTGCGCCCAACTTACTGCATTTCTTGGATGGTGTCCAGCCGCCTCAGCTTGTGCATCAGCATGGCCTTGCTCTGGATGCCAGCGTATCTGGACATGAGGTATAAGACCTTGGTCCGCACGGCCTTCTCGCTGTCCATCAGCCCCATGGTCAGCGGAAGAATAAACGCGTTGCTCAGGAAGCCCAGCTTCTCCAGCACGTCCCAGGCCAGCTCCCGGATCTCAGGGTTGTAATGGGTTATATCCTTGAGCAGGCGACAGGCTGTCTCAATACGCAGCTTCGAAGGGATTCCGTGATTGGCAAAGATCTCTACGAGCGCACTGAAATAGTTCTCGTATTTCTCTACGGAACAGAAAACTGTGAGGTTGAGAACGGTCTCTACTATGTTTTCTACAGCGTCTGCAGAAAACTTTTTTCCTTTCCAGCCCTTGCTTGCTATCTTTTGAAGGATACCGTAGGATTGTCTTTTCTGCTCCTGGTATTTGTCCCTCCGTTTGCTTTTCCTCACGGTCACTTCTTCTACACTCTCAGATGACGGCGTCCGAGATCTCAGCTGTCCGACATCCTCCATGTCTCCCTGCTCCGGGTAGAGGTCATAGCGCAGGAAAACTGGTGTGCCATCAGGCCAAAGGCGGGTTCGGATCGCCGAGTTAGGGATATAGCAATCAGGAGCAAAGGGCCATTTCTGCCCTTTGCCAAAGTAGGTCCGGAACATGCGGTACACGTTCAGCCCGTCCCAGCCAGGCACGCGCAGCTGAGCGGGGGTGGCGTGGTGATACTTGGGCTTGGCGCTAGGGGTGTAGAAGTCAGCATACAATTCCCCCAGGTAGTAGTGGCCAGATCTCTGGTGAGTTATGATGTGCTTCCCCAGCTCTACAACATGGGGCACAGTGTCATCAAAAGCGATGGCCCGTTTGTTGATCAGGGTCTCCAGCCCCTGGAGCTCCCGAACGCTTTGATCCAGGTACATAAATTTGGGTACAAATATCACTTCAAACAAATAGAAGAAGCTCGGAAGGAAGGGCTTGGGGGTTTCTTGCAGCTCGTCTCCGATGTTTAGCACACTGAGGCGCTTCAGCCGGGAGGGGTGGAGCAACTTGAGGCAGGACACTATGTAGATGCTCTCGTTGAAAGTCAAAAGCAGGTCCCCCCGGCTATTGGCGAAGCAGGGGGAGCCAAAACGGAGTTTAGAGTCAAACTGAGTTAGAAGTCTCCCTCGGAAATCCCAGACCCGGACCGACCCATCCACGGCCCCCGTGACGAAGAGTCTCAGGTTGAGGCAGACATCGAAGGAGGTGACAGCGCAGTCGTGAAGGCAGTTCGTCTCCTTCAGCGTGAAATCCTGGTTTGGGTCCGACTCCTCAACATCTTGATAGCGCCAGAGACACCAGCAGGAGTGCTCGGTGATGGCTCCCACGGAGCCCGGCAGGAGCACCACGTGTCTGAGGGAATGAACGCAGAAGATTTTACTCATGGGCTCCAGGGTCAGGTCCTTCTCTAGCGGCACCACCTTCAGGAGGTTCAGGTAGTCGTCCTTGCCGTAGGAGCACACCACCGGACCCTCCTCAAAGCCCTCCGGGGCGCACAAGAGCAGCACCGGGCCCGAGTGAATCACCTTCTCTGCCCGCCTGGAGCTGTACTGAGACAGGATTCTCACGGTGCCGCTGTCGTGCCCACACAGCATCAGGGCCTTCTCCGTCTCGCCCAGGGAGAAGCTGGTGTAGACCAGGCACCTGACTTTGTCTCTGTAGTCTTCCGAAGTACACAGGAGATACTTGGCCGCGCACGGGGACTGGGAGGCGTCGAACACCAGCAGCTCCGAGCTGCCCACAGACACGAACAGCTCCTCCCTCTCCACGTGGTAGGCCCAAGCCACGGCTTTGTCCATGGCAAGGAGAGGCCAGGTGACAATCAAGAGGTCCCCTGTCACCGGAGACAAGAACCGCAGCAAGCCGTCCTCCGTGGCGCACAGGATGCGAGCCCAGTTGTGGCCGCAGAGGACCCGCTGCACCTTCTGGGGGGCGGAGCCGCACACGTTGAAGACCCTGTAGAAGTAGGGCAGGTGGTACAGGGAGAAGGTGAAGGCCGTCTGGCAGTAGAAGCTGCTGCTGTCCAAGAACTGCACGTGCTGCAGGTTGGTGCCGATGTTCACCTGCCTCAGCAGGCTGCCGGAGGCGAGGTTCCACTCCTTCACCGTGCCCTCGCCGCCCGCTGTGAACAAGGTGTAGGTCTCGGCCCGGCTGTAGACGCAGATCACGGGCGAGGAGTGGGCCTTGAAGCTGTGGAGAAAGTCACTGTCGTCCAAACGCCAAGCGAGGACCTCGCCTTTCTTGTTTCCCGCGTAGAAGGTGTTCTGCGGCTCACAGGCACAGCAGCAGGCCAGGGAGAAGCCGTTGCTGTGGGCAGCGAAGGTCTTGACCTCCTTCAGGTGGCCTTGGCCCTCGTGGGTGAAGAGCCTCACCACACTCTCACACACAGCCATCAGAAAGCCCAGGGACGTGTCCAGAGACAAGTCCTGTATGGACTCAGGATCACTCAGAGACACTTTTTCAGCCACCTGGAGGCCCTGGCCATTTGCTCTGATGAACCAGGCAACCACAGCTCCCCTAGTACCGGAAAAGAGCACCCCAGTCCCCGAGTCAAAGCAGAGGCAGGTGATGGAAAAGTGACAGGGCACTGTGCCCAGAGCCACGAACGCCTGGCTGTGGTCCCCAAAGAGCCTGAGGCGCATGTCCTCACAGTACACAATTAACAGACCATAGGAGCCGGCGTGCGCCATTGCTATGATGGGCGGCACTTCATTCGTCATGAGGAACTTCATCTTCTTCACCATCCTCCTCTTTTCTTCATCTTTTTCCTGTATCCACAGTATTGCCTAGAAAAGGGTGGAAAACAGAGCCGGGTCAGCAGGGCAGAGGAGCCCCCGGGGGAATGCTGGAAGGAGAAGTCCGCTGCCTGCTCCTGTGGACAACGGGAAGGCCTCATCTTTGAGGTTTCCTCATGCCAGCTGCCGGATTTACCACAGAAGCCCCAGATTCAAAGCCTTTTCTTGGCCTTCAGTCTACTTTACTGTATTCTTCGGGCCTGACGGTTATCAGCGTAAAAGGGTCACTAACCCAGGTCACTAACAGGAACACGGAGTCAGGTCTTAAAATGAATGCATTTTCCAGATGTGGCGGCACATGCCTGTAACCCCAGCAGCCAGGAATGCTGCGGTGGACCACACAGTGAGTCCGAAGCCGGCCTGAGAAACGTAGGAAGGCCCTGTCTCCATGGAGGAAAGAGCAGACAGATAACACGGGTTTATTCCATTGTCCCTCCGATTCCGAAACAAGGACATTTTCGACATGGGACACGTGAACCGCATTATGAAAGAAGAAGCAAGGGTGAATCAGCCTCACCTGGCGTTGTTTCTCAAACGGCTCCATCCAGTTGAAGGCGATGAAATAGTTGGCGTCTAGACAGTAGAAGTACACAGACAACTTGTTCTCTGGATAATAATACTCGTGGTACAGCGTCTGGGGCCAGTCGCTCAGGATGATCATTGTCTCATGATCCTGAGGGAGAAGAACGGCAGGAGCTGAGAGTTGCGAGCGGCACTTTCTCACTGGATCAGCGCAGAGGGATTGGTGAACACTGGCTCTGTTTGTTTGTGCCTAACTGATATTTATTCGTCTTACCGCTTGGCATTATTTGGGAACCATCCCTCCCTTTGCGTCGGGACACAATAGAGTCCTTTTGGGCTTTTCTTTTTTTTAGAAAAAAATTAGGGAATGCTTCATGAGTTCGCACATCATACTTGGCCAGGGGCTGTGCTACTCTTCTCTGTATGGTCCCAATTTCATTGTACCTGCTGCCAAAGCGAGACCTTCCCAGGCTTTCTTAACTAAGGTTCCAGAAGAAAATTAAGCCCTAATGTCCCCTCGTGGAATAAAAGGATTTCTCTAGTTATGTAGCCGTGAGAACCAAGAGACAACCCCTCCCACCATCTCCTGTTTTCATGATTCAGATGAGAAAGCCTCAGTGAGAATGGCTGATTATTTTCATGGTTTTGTTTGTTTTTGATTTTCAATCCTAACGACTGGGCCTAGGGCCTCCTGCGTGCTAGGCAAGGGTTTCACTGCTGAGACACATGTCCCTCTGCTCACTACCAGATTCTAGGTAAGTGGTCTGTGGCTCAGCCACACTCTCTTTTAACTTAAAAAAAATTTTTTTTTTGTTTCATATGCATGGGTGTCTGTCTCCCTGTATACGTGTGCAACACTGTGTGCCATGCCCAAATAGACCAGAAGAGGGTGCAATCCCTCCAAAGCTGGAGACACACAGCTGTGAGCCACCACATCTGGTACTAGGATGTGAACTTGGGTCTTCTAGACTAGAAGCAAATGCTCTCAACAGCTGAGCCATCTCGGCAGCCGCTGTCCAGAGCCCAGACTGTTTTGGGTCTTGTAACTCCACCTGCCTCCCAAGCAACGGGATCACAGGTAAAGCCCCACCATGCCCAGTTTAATGAGCTCATCCTTTTTAAATATCTATCTTCATTAAATCTTTAAAATTATGTGTATCGACACTGGTGCATGCCTTTAATCCCAGCACCCAGGAGACAGAGGCAGGCAAGATCGCTGTGAGTTCGAGGCCAGCCTGGTCTACAGAGCAAGTTCCAGGACAGCCAGGGCTACACAGAGAAACTTCGTCTTGAATTACAAACAAAATTACGTGTAGGTGTGTGGGCCACATGTTTTGTGGGTGCGTTCGTGTATGAAGCAGTTATTCATTCACCGAACGATGTCAAGACTGTGCTCCAGCGTTCTAGTCTGCTGCTGTGTGACGAGGGGCATGTGTGCCAAGGCATTGGACCCCTCCCAGCTGGGGGTACCAGCCATCTGTCCAGCCCCTTCATGCCGTCGTTCTAAAGCAGAAGAGGAAGTTGTCCGGCTGTCCGAGGGGCCGTCTCCCAAGCTGTCCATGCCCTACCCACACCCCATCCTCCAACAGGACAGGCGCCCCGCCCTCGGCTCGCCCTGTGCGTCGCCTCCACACAAATCACCTCTCTGGTCTTACAGGTGTCTTCTAAGAGAGATTTCAAATCCTTCCACTCGGGAATAAGTCTAGGTGAGGGCAAAGAACTCGTATTCTTCCAGTTCTTCCTAGCCATCTTGGAGAACAGAACCTGGGGAAGGTGAGTATCGGAACCTCAGCGTCTGCTGTCAGACTGGAAATTAAGGGAACCAAGAAAGAATAGACAAGTCACAAAGGGAGGCACAAGCATTCATCAATGAGAAAAACTCTGTTTAGATTTATGTATGTGTATAAGCATTCAGCCTGCATATATGTTTATGTAAGGGTTCACGCATGCCTGGCACCTAGGAGAGCTCAGAAGAGGGGGTCAGATTCCCTGGAACGGCCATGTGGGTGCTGGAATCCAACCTGGGCTCTCCCTAAGGGTTACAAGTGAATCTTGGAACTGTGACACACAGTTTTAATCTCATTACTCAGGGCACAGAAGCAGGATTTCTGTAAGTTCACAGCCAGCCTGGTCTATGTACTGAGTTACAGAACAGCCAGGGCTACACAGTGAGACCCTCTCTTGAAATGATGACGAAAAAAAAAATCAAGGATTTGAATTCTCCCAAAACATGGTCTCACTATATAGTTCTGGCTTGTCTGGAACTCACTATGTAGACCAGGCTGGCCTTAAATTCACAGGATCTACCTGCCTCTGCTTCCTGAGTTCTGAGATTAGATTCATAAGCCACCACATCTGGCAAGAATTTTTTTCCCCCAACCAAAGCAACCTGAAAACTAAAGTCAGATAATGAAAATCAAAAGGCTTTACAATTAAAATTTTTTAAATGCATTATAAAATCAGGGTTCTATTACAGTGAAAGGGTCATACTGAGACCAAGAGAGAATAATGAGAGCTGAAACAGAAGGGAGTTCCACAAATTTACATTTATACCCCCAGATTGGGTTGCTCCCCTGTTCTTTTTCTGTGGGTTTCTCAGACCCAACAGTCCTGCCTTACAGGGAGGTGTTTTAAGGATCTCAGCGGGATTTACTTCCTCCCAGCTGGGAACACTTGTTTTTAATGTCACAGAGTAGCAGAGGCTTCCCCTTCACTTTCCATCCCCTCCACACCTTCGCCACCCAGAGGACCACATACCCTTAATTCAGGAGGCAAAGTCCACTCGAAGGTCTCCACGGAGGGTGAGTCACTGGTTCCAACATCACAATGCACCGCACTCTCCAGGCCCCCTCCCCCAGCCCACACATCAGTGTTCACGGACAGCGACCTCCCCAGCGACCTCCCCAGCGACGGAAGGCAGGGGAGAGGGAAAAGGCTTAAGAAGTCAGTGCTGTATTGCAGCAGAAGGGAGGGGAATTTACAGAGACCTTTCACGACAGTGAGTTTCTGGACGGCTGTTCCTGGGAGGTGTGTGCTGGAGTTGAGGGCAAGGGCTGGGCATGAGTAAATAAACTTTATTGTGTTTACATGCTTCAGATACCATTCTTCTTCTTCTTCTTCTTCTTCTTCTTCTTCTTCTTCTTCTTCTTCTTCTTCTTCTTCTTCTTCTTCTTCTTCTTCTTCTTCTTCTTCTTCTTCTTCTTCTTCGATTTATTTATTATTTATACAGCAGTCTGCCTGCATACCAGATCTCACTGTAGATGATTGCTGGGAATTGAACTCAGGCCCTCTGGAAGAACAGCCAGTGCCTTAGCCTCTGAGCCATCTCTCCAGCCCCTCGGATGCTATTCTAAAGGCTTCTCCGCGCAGCCCCTCCTGACTGCTTTAAGGAAGGGCTAATAAGCTAACTTCGAATTTTGGATACTAGGACGCAACTTCTCCCGAAAAGAAACCGCAGGTTTGGGCCTGACGACCGCAGCTGGGTGGATAGAATGCTTGCCCAGCACGGCCAAGGCCCTGGGTTTGATCCTAAGGGAACAAACAAAAAATACCCACCACTGCATGCTCCCCCGGACCCCCCGAAGGTAAAATTTAATTGGTCGCCCTATGTTTTTACTTGCTAACCCCTTTCCAACCTAGTACCCTTCCTTCTCGGAAAGGAAAACCCAGCCAAACAACAGGAACGAGGCGGGGCCGGGGAGACAGGCTCCAGGCAGGGCCTCGCGCCGACCGGATGTGCCTGTGCCCGGAAACGCCGCCCGTTAGGACCCAGGCCGCCCCGTGTGAGGGAGGGGCTCTTCGCGGTTGCCAGGCGCCCCCACGCCGCCCTTGGTGGCGTTCGCGGGGGAACCGAGCTCCGGGCAAACCCGGCACGGACAGCAGCGCGGTACCCCTGCGCCTCCCGCTGCGGAAGCCCGGATGGCCAGGGCTGAGGCCTCGGGCTCGCCTCGTGGCCCGCCGCCCTGTGCGTGGCCTCGGGCGAGGGCTGGTGCCCCCGAGGGCCGTGGTGTAGCGGTGATGGGAGCGAGGCCAACCCGGACCGATCCCGTCCACCCTGTTTGTCCGCGGCAAAAACCTAATTCAGCCCCGCCTGGGCGGACGGACCACAGGACACCCCATCGACCACGCCTGAGTAGGGCGGGTTAGGCCAACAGAGGCCCGCAGCGCCCACCCCCATGCCGGTGGGAGGCTTCTCTGGCCCACGGCGTCCATGCTGCCGCAGGACGGGCTTGCGAGACTGTCTCTGGCCTGGCGATCGCACCCTGCGCTGAGGAAACCTCCTTCAGGTATGATCCCTCCCACGTTCTGGGGTTTCCCCCTTTACTGGTTCAACCTTTAGCAACTGTTCCTTGGTGACAGAGGTGACAGGCCAGGTGGCACACCCTTTTAATGCCAGCACTCAGGAGGCAGAGGCAGGTGGATCTCTGTTTTTGTGAGGCCAGCCTGTGGGACATGGTGTGACCCTATCTTAAAAAGGAAATTCCTGTCTTTCCTTGAGTTGAGGACCTGTGGAGATCAGGAGCTGGGGGGAGAGGGGTGGATGAGTGGCGGCGGAGCCCATGCAGAATCCCAGGAATCGGACTCCAGAGACCGGACTCAAAGGTGCAGATCTGACTTTATTGTCCAGTGTAACAGCCTTTATACAGTGGAAGGAACTATCAGAGCAGCCCACACCAGCCTCAAGCACCAATAACCTGTGGGCCTCTACAGGGCCTCTTCTCTTGACTCTCCCCACAGGTTCCCCCTCTTTTAATTCCAGGGTGAAAAATCTCCAGTAAGAGAGCTTTAGTGCTTTGGTTTTGGAGGCATATGTGATTTTAAAGCCGTATCATTTAAAAAAAAAAAAAAAAAGTAAAACTACAATGACTATGGCATAACAACAACAACAGAACTACAGGGTGAAAATAAAGTGGTGAGTTTGGAAGCCACATCCTGGAAGAAATGTCCGAGAGCTCTTTACCTCATGCTGGAGCTTATGAAGGAGAGAGGGAAGGCTGTGTCCCAGGCGCCTCCTGTAGATTTGCGCTGGAGCTGCATGGTGCGACTCTTACTAAGGTGCATTAGATACTGGGTGAGGCGGCCAGCAGTATCCTTGGGATTGCAGGCGGCATTTGCAAGATCCCATAAACGACTGACAGCTGCAGCAGACCCACTTGATGACGAAGGTCAAGGGCCCCCGCCGAAGAAGCTGATGAGCTTGTATCTGTTTATCAAGAGCGGAGGCTGTAAACCTAGGCGGGTCACTTGGACTCTCTGCTCTCTGGAGAGAGTTTTGTAAGGCAATCACCAGTGTGGCGCAAGTCCCACTGCAGTAGCAGCAGTGACAGCAGATGCACCGAAACCTCTCCTGGGACGAACCAGAGGGAGGTCTGTCCTGACAAAGGGGTCCCCCTCTCCAACCCTCAGTGGTGTTCACTGGAGTCCAAGCCAGCGGTGGTTCTCTGAGGAGCAAGGAGGAG